TTAATAATCCAAAGCGAAATTACTTTTGTTACATTACTCCACGTGTAATAGAGTGTCTATAGGACCAGTTTGATATAACACAATTTAATACAATGTAATAAGGGGGTCTCCGCTCCATCTCGCCATCAGTTTGGGTTCCTTCGCCTGGAAAACGTTGAAGACCTCTGATATAGAAGGTATGCGTTACTCTTTGGCCATGTGTGAATTAGAAAAAATAAAAGGTTCAAACTTCAGCTTCTTTTTTTTTTAAAGAATCATTGAAGTTGTGTGTTTTGTAATGATTTAATCCCTGAAAAAGATTAACTGTTAAAAATAAACCTTTATAAAACCATGGATACCTTCGATGAGACGATGTGAAAATCTGTGTTCCCTCAACATTTTCCCCCACCTTTCCTTTTCTTCCCTCCCTCTGCTCTCCTACCTTGTTTGACTTTTTAGCTCCCCCCATTAAAAAAGGGATTACACACAGACGCTGTGTGCTGTGTTTCTGGTACTGCTGTTGCCAAGCAACATTGTTTTCTGCTAGCCGAACCGAGAAACAGAGCATTAATGATAAATGGCAGAAACAAGCAGAGAGCTGCTGAATTCAGACGGTGATAAAGAGGTAACGGATCGTTCTGTTGTCTGTTTCTCTGCTGTGCGGTGCGGCTGGCGTCAGAGATGTAATTAGCAGTCCCAGGAATGGCTGGAATCTGCTAGTTAATGCTGTATGTGCGAAGCGGCAGGTGAATGCGCTGTCAACAACCGAAACAATAAACGTCCGGAAAATGGGCTCCCTATCCTGCTGCTGCTGTCCTTTCCTCTGAGCCTGTCTGCTCTGATGCACTTCTGTCCTTCTGCCACAAAAAAAAAAACCTTCATTAAAAACATTGTGGGATTAAGCAAAGCCTGATATGGATTATTTTCACTCCTAAATGCCCACTACTCTCCTCATAATCCAATCAGGTTCCCACCACATTTCTGAATTATTATCATTTTGAATCCAGCACTGCCTGCTGGACCTCTGGTGATAAAACTTAGGAAACTTAAAACAGAAGCTGCTTTTATATTCAGGAGAATTTAGTTAAATATAAGAAAAGTTCATAATAATTTAAGTTATTCAATTCTTTTTAAATATGTAAACTTCAAACAGCGTTAATGATGAAGGGGTAAAAAATTTTCTTGCAAATAAAAGCAGGGCCCAGCGGGAAAAGTTTGGGAACTACTGGTTAAGTAGAAGCAATAGGTTGTAGAAGACATTCAAGTTTTAAAAGCATGCCAGAAGTTTGATTTTGCAGGGAGGCTACTGAGGTGCTGGTAGCAGCAAGAAGCGTGGGCTGCAGGGGTTTCTATGAGTAATGGTTTGGTTCTACATCCTAATGATCTGCTGTACTTTCTGAGGACAAAGCAGTGGATTTGGGAGGTCTTCTCTTTAAGACAAAAACCTCCAAGCCTGGTTAAAATCTCTCAACAATTTCCAGAACAATCTGCTGGGGTTAGATTAAACCAGTTAGCAGTGCTTGGGCAACAATCACAAAAGATAAATTTAGCCCATGTACACTATATCAACACTTAGGCTTTGTCAAAAGTCCACCCTAATCCCTATATAGGCCCCTTTATAGTGGTAACGCCATTTTAAATGAGTGTCTGAATGTTTAGTGGATGAAAAAGTAGTGGACTCGAAATTTCCTTCATTGCACCTCAAAAGGTAGAGATCATCTATGGTCACTAGATCAGAGGATATGAGCAGGGGGGAGTGGAGGCCCTGTGGTTAGGGCATAGAGCTTGGAATCCTGAGGTTCTGAGCTCAAGACCCGATACCAAAGACTGCCACTCTGGATCCCTGAGCAAAGACCCTTAACCCCACACTGCCCTACAATGGCAGCCCACTGCTCCCCAAAGGGAGGGGTTAAATGTAGAATGCTCATTTCATTGCTCTGTACTTGTGACAATGTAATGACAATGAACACTAGAAAAAGAGATACATTGCGAGAACTGTCCTTGCAATGCATTATGGGATTTGTTGTCACAGCAGCCTGCTATCAGGTATAACAAAGATGGTACATGCATCACGTGGGGAGATGGAGTCACGTGATCAACGGGGTGCGAAAAGTCGTGATCATCGGACCAAACAGTAAGTTAACTGAGTTCACTATAAAGTCCACTATATAGTCCCCTCTCTATATAGGGATTCAGGGCTTTAGGGGTTATGGCGGACATTCGGACACAGCCTTAGACTCTGAGCATTACACCAAATCAACACGACTGACTTCTTCAAAAGAAAATGCATCTTTTAAACAATCTGAGTCAGTACAGAACTAAATTCTAGAGAAAATCTGAAGACACTAAATCATAGTGTGTTTCAACAAAGCCTTAGTGTATTGGTTTGTCTGATTCTTTATCATCTTTACTCTCTTTATTACCATTTTAAGTTGAAGGGGACAAATGCCAAATTAACAGTTTAAATAGTTTTTAAAAAATTATCA